CGGGTCAGGGTTTAAAAAAAAAACAGGAAGGCCACAAGTTTTTTTTTTTTTTTTTTTTTTTGCATGAAAAGTTCCCAGGGGGCTAGAAATTTGAAGATGTGATGATAGACATTTCAAGTGCCTACATCTACTTTAAACCATTAGAGATAAATACATGGTGGGTGAAATCTTTATGCAGAAGCGCGGAACTCTTGTTCCACTCCAGCCAATTCAAACCAGTTGTGTTCCAACACAAGCCAGCCCTTTTTTTTTTTTGTTTGTTTTTTTTTTGCTTCTACTTCCATACCTTGGATTTCTCCAATAAAGATTTCAGGCCACTCGGATTCATTTCGACAGAGCTATGCAGAACAGGACCATCGATTGCCAAACTCTGGTTGCCACCAGGTTGTGAAATGCCTGAAGGTGTGCAGAGGAGAAGCTGCACTTTGGGGCCACCCCCGGCGGGCAGCGGGGCTGGGCACCGGGCATCCCACCGCCACCTCACCTGGGGACACTCTGCATAGCTCTGAACGACAGTGGGAAGGGATGGAACACACACAAAGCTAGGGTTTTTATTTTATTTTTCCTTCTCTTAGGAGCCTTTGGGATTAGTCCTCCTTCCTGGCCGCTAAGAAAACAAACAGGAGAGACAGGGAGACACAGGCTGCTGACCCGAAGGCGTGAGGTTTACCAAACCAGATTTTGCCATCAGTTAAAATGGCCCAACTGGTTTAGACCACCCGAAAGCTCCCGGGGAGGGGGAGCAGTCCTGGAAGCCAACAGATCTCTTTTGACTTTCTCAGGGGCCTTTTCTTCACGCTCCAACCAAGCTCTAAGTGTTCTGCCCACTCAGAGTCATGGCTTTGAAGGCAACAATCTGCCCCAGGCCTACAATTACAGGTGTAAATCCACGTGCTATGGCCGAGGTGAGGAGGCTGCCGGCGTAACACGGGGCTGACACCAGGTTTCTGCCTCGTCCATACCTGAACTCTCAAAGATCCCCACTCCCGAGGCACAGGGAGTGAGCCCTGGCCCCGGGGGAAGGTTTGTGTGTGTTCAATCCAGAGTTACTGTTAAACAAACCCCACAGAGGATTTTTCACCTCTGCGCGACCACGAAGGGAGCTGAAAGTTCCAGGTTTAGCAATACCCCTAATTCCCCCCCCCTCCCCGGGGGCCCAACCACCCGCAGGACATTAAAAAAAATATCACCAGATCCTGCTCCTATTTCCCCTAGGGTAATATTTCCATGGATGAGAAGCAATGCTGCTACATGAGCCCGTTCTCCATGGAAGTACCGTTGGGAATGTCAAACCTTTCAGTCCCTTCTTTGCATTTCAAACCCTAGGGGTAAAACAGAATTAGGTAAAAGGAGAAAAGATTTGCTCTTACCCCATTCCACCGCGTCCTCCTCCCCGCCCACCTCTGCTCATGCCTCCACGATCATATCCCCCTCTTCCCCTGCCCCGGTTATCGGGGCCGCTCAGATTCCGGTTCTCTCCTGGGCCTGAAAAGCCTCCAGATTCCTGTCCGTACACGTTCATGCTGCTCGGATGGTCCTGACGGAATGAGCCTGAGGAAGTTGGTAACAAAAAATATCAGGGAGCTGCAGAGAAGAGTGGGTTGAAGCCGCCTGTCCTCTTTTTTTAAAGCCCTTTTACCCGCCTTCAGCGCTGGAACATAGTCATGACAAGTGATGGGACAAGGGGAAATGGCCTCAAGTCGCGCCAGGGGAGGTTTAGGATGGAGAGTAGGGAAAATTTCTTCACTGAAAAGAGTGAAGAACATTGGAGCAGGCTGCTCAGGGCAGTGGTGGAGACCCCATCCCTGGAGGTATTTAAAAGCCAGGCAGAGGTGGTGCTGAGGGACACGGGTTAGTGGTGGTTTGGGCAGTGCTGGGTTAACAGCTGGACTTGATGACCTGAAAGGTCCCTTCCAACCTGGACAATGCTATGATTCTACAACAACCGTTTGCTCCAGCGCTCACAGCAACAGCCTTAATTTAAGGAGAGGTCTCCATTCTCACCTCGAGGGCTGTGTTCAGTTCTGGGCCCCTCACTACAGGAAGGACATTGAAGTGCTGGAGCGTGTCCAGAGGAGAGCCACCAAGCTGGGGAGGGGTCTGGAGAACAAGTCCTATGAGGAGAGGCTGAGGGAACTGGGCATGTTGAGTTTGGAGAAGAGGAGGCTGAGGGGAGACCTCATTGCCCTCTACAGCTCCCTGAAAGGAGGTTGTAGAGAGGCAGGGGTTGGCCTCTTCTCCCAAAGGACGAACGACAAGACCAGAGGAAATGGTCTGAAGTTGGGGCAGGGGAGATTTAGATTAGATATTAGAAAGAACTACTTTCCTGAGAGAGTGGTCAGGCCCTGGAACAGCCTGCCCAGGGAGGTGGTGGAGTCACCATCCCTGGAGGGATTTAAGAAACGTGTAGACATGGCTCTTCAGGGCCTGCTCTAGTGCCCAAGGTTATTGGTTTATGGTGAGGTGTTGAGTGTGGGGTTTAGTTGGTGGGTGCGGTGTTTTTGGTGGGCGTTTGGTGTGGTGTGTTTTGAGCCAGCCCTTTTTTTTTTTTTTTGTGGTTGGACTCGATCTCAGAGGGCCCTTCCAACCACTAAGATTCTGTGATTCTGTGATTTGCAGAACCAAAGCTGCCAGGAGGCCCTCCCAGTCTGACCTCTGCAGAACTGGCCAAACAGAACCGTTTCCACCACGTCCTGCCCGCTCCCAGCCCCAGCATTTGGTGCATCTGTGGGTTTTTCAACCACCCCTTCACCTTCGCCGCGCTGAGGGGAGTATCACAATTCACCCCTGCACTAGCCAAGCCGTTTTCCAGCAAAAATGGGCAAAACCCAGCTACGGTACGTTCTCCCTTCACCACAGCTGCAAGGTTTAGAGCCAAAATAACGCCAAGCGTCCTTCAGAGCCTGCCCACCCCACAAGGCCACCCCTTCCTCCCCAGGCAGGGGTCTCTCTGCTAAGCACACTCACTCTGCTGGCCGTAGCTGCTGCTCTGCTGGCTGTACTGGCTCGGGGCCTGGCTGTAGGACGCCGTCGGGGGTGGGTAACTGGTCGGGGGGGGCTGCTGCCCATAACTGCTTTGCTGGCCATAGCTGGTCTGCTGCCCGTAGGTGCTCTGTTGCCCGTAGGTGCTCTGCTGGGAGTAAGTGCTCTGATCGTAACTGCTTGGCTGCGTGGAGGAGTAGCTGGAAGACAAAAGCAAGGGAAAGAAAGATGAGCCAATTCCCCGGGGAATGAGGGGCGTGAGGCTGCAGAAGCGGCTGACACAGGGAGGCAGTGCAATTAGAAGCCATATGGATGTGGTAAACGGTCTAAAAAGGTGAGTCATCCTACAGGAGGCTGGTCTGGTGGCAGGAGACAAACCTGGTGGACTGCTTAAAGCAGAATCCACGCGACCGTTCACAATTTATTCCAGCTCTAGAGAGAGAGGCAGAAGAGCCAGGGGAAGAATCAGTGCAATGTAGGTAACAGCCTCCCTTTCTGCCTCGGCACCGAAATATTTTCAGCTGATGGATAAGAAACCAGTCCCCCCTCACACTTCTCAGGCTTTGAGAATTTCAGAACAGACACTTTAAAAGTGGATGTTTATCAGTGTGTTAAAGGCAGCTGAGGGGAAGAGATGAGCTTGTCGTCAAAGCCATGTGCAAGGAGGCAGAGAAAGGTCACTGTAACACACTCCGTATCTAGGAAATCTCTTAAAACCTTTGTCACTGTTTTGCCTGTGACTTTTACTGCAGGCGTGTATGCAGAGACACTTATACACTCAATCAGAGCTTATAAATATTTTATCAATATCTAAAGGGTGGGTGGCAAGAGGATGGGACCAGACTCTTCTCAGTGGTGCCCGGAGACAGGACAAGGGGCAATGGGCACAACCTGGAACATGGGGAATTCCACCTCAACATGAGGAAAAACTGTAGGGATAGGAGGAGGGGGAAGGGTTTGACCCTGAAAGAGGGGAGATGGAGCTGAGCTGTGGGGAAGAACTTGTTTGGTGTGAGGGTGGTGAGAGCCTGGCCCAGGTTGCCCCGAGAAGCTGTGGCTGCCCCATCCCTGGAGGGGTTCAAGGGCAGGTTGGAGGGGGCTTGGAGCAACCTGGTGTGGTGGGAGGTGTCCCTGCCCAGGGCAGGGGGTGGCACTGGGGGGGCTTTAAGGTCCCTTCCAACTCAAACCAGTCTGTGATTCTTTCCTTTGAGAGTGCCAGAGCCCTGGAAGAGGCTGCCCAGAGAGGCTGTGGAGTCTCCTTCTCTGGAGACATTCCAAACCCCCCTGGACACGTTCCTGTCCAACCTGCTCTGGGTGACCCTGCAGGGGGCTGGACTGGATGATCTCCAGAGGTCTCTTCCAACCCCATATCATTCTGTGATTCTGTGATAGCTCCATCTTCCCTACAAGAATTACTCCAACAAGAACCACACCTCCCTCCTCCCAGGACACCAAACCACCTTTTACATCTGTTCTGTTTAAAATCCCTGGAGAAAACCCCTTTTGCCCAAGCTAACTGGGAAGTTCTCCCAGCAGTTGGAGGAGGCTGTTGGGAGCGTTACCTGGTGGGTGGGTAGGAGGGAGGCGCGGTGACCGGCTGCAGGGGGTAGCTGGCAGGCACCTGAGGGTAACTGTAGTTGCTCTGGCCGTAGCCCAGGCTGGGCTGGCTGTAGCCTGTCGTGCTGGACTGAGGCTGGCTGGTCTCTGCTGGTTTGCTGCCATCCTGGGGTCTGGATAGAACAAGAAGGAAACATGGGTGCAAAGCCCCACCTCTGGTGGCAGCCAAAGTGCTCAGATCCACCCCCTCCCCCCCCCCAAACACAACTCACTGCTCATTTTTCTGGGGAGAGTCACCAACTGGCACTGCATTGTGCTCGTTAAATGCTAAATATTTTAGCACCTGGGTATTCACACACTCCTCTGCCATCAGAAAAGGCCCAGGCAGGTCCTGAGCAGAGAGCACAGATGTTACAGCTTCTGTTCACCCTCTGCATTACAAAACCAAAGGCGGGGGATTTCGATTTTGGCTCTAGAATGGGGTGGAGGATGTGAAAAGGCCAGGAGAGCGGGAGCAGCACTGCCCCTGCTCTCAGCCTGGGTTTATACAACGTTTGGAAATGATCAGCTCGAAAACAACCAGAAATGTTCAGTTAAATGCACCATTGTTTGGTTCAGAATTCAGTGCAAGCAGATATTGCCCCACGCACGTTATCCGATGAAAGGGAAAGGATGCTGGGGGTTGGACTAGATGACCTTTAAAGGTCTTTTCCAACCTAAACTATTTGATGATTCTATGTTTAGTATTAACTCTCGAGGCCTGAAAAGAACGAGAACACTCTGCATTTGAGTCTCATGTCTCCTTCTTTTGTATTTGTCCCACAGTGTTTATAATTTCTACGTGTTTATTAGAGCAGAGTAAAAAGAGTTAAGCTACTTTTGTTGTACAAGTTGGGAAAAATTATTCTAAATTATGTCAGGATCTGTACTTAAAGTGTAATCTGACACAGACAGAGCAGTGCCAGGCTCCGCCTTTCCTTAGTGCTCTGGTTGCTACAAACATCAGGTAAACGAATAAAGTAATTTTTCCTCACTACTCAACAAGTTTCCATTATGTATTTGAAACCTTTCATATCCTGAGTGAACAATTAAACTAAATATACCATTGAGAGTGCCCAGACACAAGGGGTTTCAAAAGGAAATTGTTTCCAGCAGTGTGCACCCACTCCAGAAGGCGCAGTCCGTCGCGGTATCCTGCCTGACCCCGTGACTCACCCTCAGATCAGACTGGTCCCTTTTCTGCTCTACGTTGTGAGTCAAGAGCCCGTTTTTTTGCTGCTTGGTTGCTCCCTGCATCTCCCCGAAACAGCGCTGACTCACTCTGCCAGAGCAGAACCTACCTACGCCGCTTCCCCCGGCCCTCCAACGCCACCGGATCGGAGCAAAACTCGGAGCACAACAAGCAGAGGAACAAACAAGCGTAAGGAAAACCAGTGGCTCCCAGTTGGGGCTGGGAGGGTGAGAGAGGAGGCCGGCGTTACCTCGGGGGGGCGGAGGCTGGTGGCTGCTGGCCGTAGGCCGGGTAGGCGGGCTGGGTGCCGTAAGCGGAGGGCGCTGGGTAGGAAGCCTGGGTGGTGGTAACCGTGGCGGTGTTGGTATCGTAGGCGGCCGTGCCGTACCCTTGGACGGGCTGACTGTAGGCCGGGGGGGCAGTCGGGGCAGAATAACCTACAACAGACAACAACAGCCTCGTCAGAGCAGTCGGGTGACAGTCGCTCCTAACATTTCAGTCTTCCTCTTGAGGAATTTAATTTTACCGTCACAACTCACCCCAAAACGATGAACTAACCCAAACGCCGTCCCCTCCCCATTCCTCAGAGAAACCCCCTTCCCTGGAAAACCTGAGCCTGCAACCTCAGCTCTACCCTCAGCATCCAAAAAGCGCTCTCCGAGGAGCTTTCTGGAAGCCCCCCCTCAGCCAGCATCCAAAGGCTGTTTGTTTACAGCTAACGAAGCTGACGGGTAATGTAATAAAGCACACAGAGGGCAAGCCGAGGCACGCAGCCTCTCCTCAACCCAGGAACACAAAAGAAAGCTCCTGTTAGCCCTAAAGTAAAAGAAATCCTATCGATTTAAAAAGTAGGGTCCCATCCTTTCAGCTTTTCTGAAAAAAGAAAGCGCAAAGCGGCACTAGGCTGACCTGACAGGTCTTCTGGAGGCACTTACAGAGTCTTATTTTAAATCAGTAACTCTGGAAACAAAAGAAAAGCCCTTTACATTTGTTTTAACTTAAGAGAAAGGTCGAAAAAAGACACGTAAGGCAGCTCCCGCTGTTTGAGGTACCTTCAACTTTCTTAGCATTTCAGTTTGGTTCAGGTAAAAAGCTTAGAGCTCCTGCATTTATTTCTGAACATTTTTACAACAACATCCAAGATCCCAAAACAGCTCCATTTAAACCAATTTTTCCAGCAGCTGCCGCTGTATAATTTTGCCGACCATTTGGCTTGTCACAGAGGTGAGCTGCAAACCCGGTGGCTTTTTATAGTTAAGAACCTTGCCAGCCAGTTTTTAATTATAAAACGGAGACTTAGATGAAAAATTATCAATTAAAAATGTTGTTAGCAGAAGCTGACTTACTAAAAATATAAAAGATCGATTGCCAAAGAGCAGCCAAATGCTCTCAGTCTTATCGATGTGATCTTAATTGCATCAATTAAGGTAACAGCTTCTCCGTCGCTTCTTATTTTTAATAAACATATGACACTTGTGACACACTCTTCCTTTTAATTATCCAGCAAACATTTGGGGCAAATTGTGCTGTAGTTTTTTATTTCAATTCCTTAATTTGCAAAACAAATGTACTCCCAGCAGAGTACAGTGTGCCCTCCCAAAGCAACACAGCAACTTCCACATCGTGCTGTCCCCAGAGCTCCAGGGACCCTTCCCCGCCACCGCCTGAGTCACCCAGCCAAGGGGAAGAGAACCGAAAAGAGGAAGTTTGCAAAGCGCATTAAAAACCCCAAACTTCAGCTTTCTGTCCCGAGAGCACTCTTGAATTTTCTGGTTAGCTTCAGGACCCTGATGGAGGGGACACGAGCCTCTCTGCTCTTGTCACCTTCAAGAGCCACCCTAAAAGCCCCTTCCTTCCCCCACAAGCCCCCTTCCTCCTCTTTGACCCCCCCCCGTGCTTGCCACGCTACCACCTGGCTGCTGAAGGCCACGGGCTGGTGGCCACATCGTGGGGCTGCTGACCTGGAAACGTGAAAGCCAGAGAGTAAACTGGCCTCCCACCAGGAAATAACTGGCATGACTCGCCAGCGAATCAGTTTTCATGGTGCTTATTCCTTTTTTTGTTCTCTGAAAAGCAAAGTCCTGAGCTGATTGATGCCGAACAGGAGAAAACGAGCATGATTTTTAGAGCCTTGGGACAAATTTAAACAGTCCAAAACACTTCAATGTGAGCCACCACAGCATTTCCACAGAGAGCACTGGCACCAGACATTAAAGGAACCCTTATTTAAACGGCTGAAGCCTGACCACATGCTAAAAAAGCCTCCTGTTTGTGTAAGTACAGCCTGCAGCAAGTGCTCCTGAAGCCACAGCCTTGCTCTGGGCTGTCCTCGTCACTCGGGAGCTGCTGGGTGTTCCCCCCCCAAATCTAGGACCTCCTTTTTTGGTACAATCAAGGGAGAAAGTTTGCTAACACCTGGCTCTGCACAGTCAGTAGAACAAAAGGGAGGAAAAAAGAAAAAGAATCCTGAATTTTAATGCTTCGGCCCTAAATGGAGCATTTCCCTCCTGCAAGCGCGCTCAGCAGCGAGGGTTTTTACCAAAGAAAGAAACAGCAGTGATTTAACATCCCACTGGTCTCTATTTTCATTTCAACAACTTAGCTCAGGTACTCTGAAAATCCTCAAGAGCAGTATTTTTGAGGGAGGCGTTTGCATTTACATCAACTTCTCTCTCCTGCCCCCGCCAGTGAGATAAAGGGCGAGTCTGCAGTGAGCAGAAGGTAACAGAAGAACTTTGATAACCTGCTCAGTTTCCCCTCAAAGCATCCATGCCTGCAAGCAAAACCCTTACCGAAGCCTAGGAGTTCTTCAGGCCGAGGGGAAGCTTTGGTCCTCAGAGAACATCGGCTGAAAATACTGGATTCAGAGAGATTTATTCTGAAATAAGCAGGCTTCAGCAGGTTTTGGAGGCTTCTCTCTGATGCAAACAGCATTAAAAGCTAACCAGGGGGTCTGTGTGCCCAAAGAGAGCCACCTCCTGTTTGTCATGTGTATCTTCTACTGGGGAATGGCTGGGAAGGGGACACAAAGGGGACACAAAGGGTACCCCAGACACCCCAGACAGCAACGGGTGTGCTCATTCCAGACTCTGGATACAGTAGAACAAACCAGATGTAACCCTAAATTTCACAGGTGAAAACAGAAGTGGGGGCTGGCTGCCTTTAGAGAGTAATTCCCACTTAGGTAATTAAAGGGGATCCACACTTGGATATTTGAAATGAAGTTTTTGTCCCCACACGTCATTGTTAGAAAGCCAATCACCGTAACAGATGCAGCTCTTTATTTACTCTTGTCATTGATGCTCAGTGATTAAAGACCACAGATCTGATGGTGCCAATTAATCCCCTAATCCAGCTGGTGGCCGGGGAGCTGCAGAGGAGCCCGTTGGCTCCCAAACCCCTCTTCTCTGTAATGAACCACCGGGGTGACTCCAAGACACCTTCTCCTGCAGCCACAAAGAGGGAAAAAGCACGACCTGGGCAATAACTCTCACCTCGGGCTGCCCAGGAGTTGGTAAAAGGCTGGATGGCAGAGTCATTGGGACAGGAATTGGGACAATCCAGGCTAAACCCCTCACCTGAGGCTTGAAGTGATGCAGAGGAACTGTCCGTGTCCTTCCCACAGAGTCCTGAGTGTATCTGCCCAGGATTTGAATTTCCCTGACCACATCACCATCTCACCCCCAAAAAAACAGGCTGTTAAGCCAAAAAAAAAAAGGCACTTTGCTTTTAAATAATTACAGACGTTCCTCTGCTACGAAGAGGCGATGCCAAGGAAAATTAAACAGAGATTCAACCGTAAAAATTGCCCATCTCTTAGGGCACAAAGATGGATGCCCCAGGCAACACCCCGGGTGTTGTTTCCTAGGAAAGGCAGAGAGGGAGAGGGGGAAATGGGCTTTAAGCACCATCAGTCTCTGGCTCCTCAAGGAGAGGTAGGTGTAGGGAGAATAAATCCAACCTGGCACTCTGCCTGGAGAGGAGCAGCAGCAGCTCTGCCACAGACCCACACTATGGGCAAATCGCACTCCAAGGTCTGGTATGCTCTTTTGCTTGACCACTTCCTGAGTTTTCCCATTTTTGATGAAAAGAAAATGAAGCTTTTTTTTTCCTAAAAAAACCCCAAAGAAGCTGTGCAGAAAAGATGTCTATTATTATTATTATTCCTCCAGCAAATATACTCTGAAGGGACAAGCGAAACCAAACAGCACGGCTTCCTGTGAGCCCTGCAGGAGTGAAGCCCGTAGTAAGGATTGAAGGACTCAAACATTCCTAAGAAAGGAATCTGGGGAGTCCAAAAATCCCTTTTCCTGCCAATTTATATCCATATACTTTTAAATGAAAGGAAATAAGACCTGTAGATAACCCGCTGCAAGGCTGGCTAAAGGGTACTGGCTCCCATTCTGCACTGACTGCCAGAAATTTTCCTCATCTGTATAAAGATATTCAGTATTTTAAACGTCGTGTAAGCAGACAGACTATAGGGTAAGGTTTTTCTTTCCACCTCTTCCATGTGAAGCATTTCCCCAGAGGCCAGATACCCCACTGCCTGTCTGTCCTGGTATTCCCTCGCTTTGGGAAGTATTTAGGAAAGCTCCCACTCTAATAATTAGACATTTAGTCTCTCATAGCAAAGGATGAAGCTGCAGAATACAGCACTGAAGGCACCCCCTGGAGGAAAATCCATTTTCTTTTTCAAAGTCTCCTGAATATTCAGCCCAAATATAGCAGAATAGTTTCTTTCAGACATTATGACACTCATATAGAACTCTAGTCCAAAGAGCACGTGTTGGAATCATTTACGGCACGTTAATGAACGTGTGACATGTGTGTCTGCACTGGAAATCCCACGACAAGGTGGATCATGCCAAGGTAGTAAATATCTGGACAAGCCATCTGCTCACCCTTTAGGAAAATGTTAGATCCACCTGAAACATCTTGGCACAGCTCATTAGTGCTCAGAAAGTTTTATCCATAAATTACATCACTTGGGGGGACTTTACAGGGCTGTGGGGATGGCAAAGGGCACTGCAGCCAAGCAAATACTGACACTGTGTGCACGTGCTCAGATGTTGGGAGGTTTTTTAGGGCTAAAACCCAAGTGACACCTAAAGGGTTAACACCACAGGTTTGGAGACAGGATGAGCAAGCACCTTCCATGCAATGAGCCTGAAAGTTAAACTTCTGCTGGTCCCTTCTACTGTGGGAAGCACGAGACAAAAGGTAGAGGGTATGTTATGGGCACACAGCACTTCCAGGGGGTTGATTTTCAGGCAGGAGAAGCGCTGAGGACACGGGTTCTCAAGAGCAGCCTGTGTTTGCTTTACTCTTTATGAGGGAGCAGAGCCATAGGAGGAGGGGGAACTGTTTTAAACTGAAAGAGAGGAGATTTAGAGCAGATACGAGGAAGAACTTGTTTGGTGTGAGGGTGGTGAGAGCTTGGCCCAGGTTGCCCCGAGAAGCTGTGGCTGCCCCATCCCTGGAGGGGTTCAAGGGCAGGTTGGAGGGGGCTTGGAGCAACCTGGTGTGGTGGGAGGTGTCCCTGCCCAAGGGATGTTGGATGAGCTTTAAGGTCCTTTCTAACCCAAACCATTCTATGATTCTAAGCACAGCACACCCTGCAGCCATCCTGACTTCCACACCATAAACCGGCACCCAAAACATCCCCTGAAAAATTAAACGGGCACCTTTATCCACTCCCTTTCACCCCACCCGTATCTTTACGTCATTTTAGTAATGACTGAAATGCTGATGCTTCAGCAGGGGAGTTGGACCAGATGATCTCTATGGTCCCTTCCAACTCTAAAAAAACTCAGTGAAATTCAGTGAAATTTAAACCCCCCTGCGCACCAGGGAGGCTCTGGAGGAAGAAAGCCCTGAGGAATCGAGTCCAGGTTTGGGTCGGAATTCCCTAAAGCTCAGTTGAGCTCAACTCTCTCCCCAGGACAGGCAAAACCTTGCAGGGGGGGGGGCTCTTACCGGTGGGAGGCTGCCCGTAGGACGTGGCGTACGCAGTCTGCCCGTACGTGGCGGTCGTCTGGGGCTGGGTGTAGCTGACGTCGGTGGGCTGCCCGTAGGTTCCGTAACTCTGCCCGTACGTCTGCTCCAAAGACAACACAGATTGAACCCAGGAACAGAAACACCTCGTGGGGAGACACACACAGACCGTTTGGGATCTGCGTGACCTGAGGTACTTGAAAGCAATCACAATGAAGCCAAAACTACGGCGAAAATTTGGGCGCTACCACAAATTTCAGCTCAGAGCTGTAACGACGTCACAAATGCAGTTTTTCCAACGCCAGGACCCCAGGGGCAGACTCTTACATTTTCACAACACACCTCTGCTTTACATAAAGTAAAACATGAAAGCATCCAGGGCTTCATAATCGCCCGGGCACCCACCACCACTCATGGGTACCTCCCCAGGGCTAACCTGGAACATGGGGAGCGGGACCGCTCACGGGGCAGAACTGCACCGAGTGAAACAAGGCAACTGCTTCAGTGTTCACTAGCAAAACCTATCTAAGCTTTCAGTGAAGTTGTTCTGAATATTCTTCATGTCCACCAGCCTATAATTTCAAAATTAGGAGCTTATGTAGGCAGCCAAGGATGGGGTCAGTGGGAGCACCCAAGGGTTTGCCATCATCAAACCATCCCAGTTTCTCAGCACCGTTGCATTCCGTGAGAGATGAGCTCCCAGCTCATTCTGCAGTCTAGACTATCACTAAAGGACTTCTTTTGCCCATTGTTGGGCTCATTCCCCAAGACAGCACTTGCAAAGCAAGTGGCAGGGTGGCTGGGATGGCACAGAGCTGCCGAGGCTGCAATTTTACCAGCTAAAGAGGCATCTCCACCCCGTGCCACGGAGCAGCCGCCTCAAACCTCAGGCACCAACAGCTTGGTTTGGGATAAAACTCGAGTTACAGCTCAAAAAATGACATGAAGACAGCCTCAACGTCTAGATTCCCAAAGGGATTTACTGACTCCTGCAGGAGCCTGGAATTTAAATGCCTTTTGGGATCTAAACGTGTGTTACTCACGAGCCGGACCTCCTCTACTCAGCCACAAATCTCAACCAAGGACAGAAAATCTCTGCCCAGATTGAATATGTCACCGTTAGTGGAAGGTCACCACATGGAGAGGCAGGAAACGCTGCAACCCCCCCATGGCTCTTTGCCTACAGCTGAGTTCAGTGGGGTTGTTGTTTTAGCCTCACACCAGAGGATGTTGTGGAAGCCGCCTGCTCTCACGCTCGTCCTTCCGCGTAACCTGCAGGCCTTGCAATTGTTCTGCCTCAAAACGCTGATTCAAAATATAAAATTATCATCACCTTCCTTTAAGCTGACACAAATGCCAAGATTGAACCTGTAACACTGATATTTTTCACAAAGGGCCTTCTTAGGCTGCCCCAGGAACAAGTGAGCGTGGTATTCACCTGCCTTGGACTGGCTGGTGCAGGCAGGAGCAGGCAGGGGAAGGCAGGTCCTGCTCAGCCCTGCAGCACCCAAGCCAAGCCATTGCCACAACCAGAATTAACTGATTTAAAGCTGCTCCAAGACAACAACGTGGAAGTTCTTATCTCCAGTCGTACTCACAGGCAGCAGGATCTTCCCTTCCCTCTGGGAGAGGTGGAGGAAATTTAACCTACACCACTTTTTAAGGATCAAAGTTTACCTTTGAAAACACACTCGGAGCGTGTACACAAATGTGGTTTTAGTGACTTGTATTCTAAGGATTGAAAATAAGCATCGTTTAATTCATCATCATCATTTGGCAGTCTAGCCAACTGAGAGTACTAACAGTTTTAGCAACAATACCTCCAGAAAAAAAAAAAACCCTATTCCCTCCTCCTCCTCCATCGCCCAACTGCTGCAATCTCACAAATGGCAATTTCCCTTCCTTTTTTCTTTAGGTTTTTCTCTCCTGCCCCACTGAGTAAAGCACCCATTGACAGGGTGGGGTCAAACCTACACCAAGAATTAGGCTTTTACAACCACCTCAGGCTGGGAAATACTAACAAAGAAGGGGGCTGTTGAGGCTCATGGATATTTACGTTGTTTTCAGTTCAGGCTACGAGACAACTTTTACTGACAGATTTTGACGTTGCCGCTCAGCGTTTTTTGTGGCTGGTGGTTTAGTTGACTGGAAAACGTGATTTTATAATTCTAAATCCCTCCCGTGTTTTACCTGGGTGGTCTGTGCATATCCTTGAGCTGGCTGAGGTGCGTACGCGCTGTAGCTGCAAAATGAATTTAAAAGACATTTATAATGCATCCCTGCGTGTCTGACTCGTGCAACACATGATTTTACACACATCCAAATGATTTTCTGCCGAAACACAACAGCAACACCAAAATCTAAAAGCTAAAGGAAAGCCATCGGATTTGCAAACATACACGAGTTAAGATTAAAGCACAATTATTACATACTTATATTACATCTTTTTAAAAGAGAGAGGATAAAACTGTAATGCTACTTACCCCTGCTGAGCTGCAGCTTGGCTATAGGTACTATAATCTGTAAGAAAAGGGGAAAAAAAAACAACAAGGGAAAAAAAAGGTTGACAAAGGCTTAACAAAATTAACAGTGTAAGAACACAGCAGCTGGAATTTCCTCCTGCAGCTTGAAAGAACTGCTATAAACCTCTGGAAATCCAGTTTCAAAAGAGCGTAAGGTAAAATGCACTTTTTCAGGCTTTTTGAAGGGAACAAAACCTCTCTTCCCTTCATTGTTAGCGCTGTTTTGCAGCAGCAACTTTGATCTCAAATGACCCCACTTTAATTTAACTGCCACCTTGGATGACACCCAAAGGGGCTGGCAGGGGGGGTGTTTTGTTTTGGAACAAAAGGAACACTGGGGCTGACACTCAGAAACCCCCCAGTGGGGATTCAAAGGGCCAGGTTTCCAGCGTTGGGGTCTGGAGAAACCACGTGCTTCACTCTCTCCCTCTTTCTATTTAACTTTCAAGGACATAAACAAACGGCTGGAAGGTTCTAACGCTTTTCCCCTCGCAGGGCTTGAGACAGGGAATAATTCCTTCCCCAAAGCCCTCATCCACGTCAATGCCCCGATTTAGAGGAGACTCAAAATCCTGAAAATCCAAAGAAAAAAAAATCTCTCCGCTGAGCCTGTTTGCCAGCGGGAATACACTCAGAAACCCCCCAGTGGGGATTCAAAGGGCCAGGTTTCCAGCGTTGGGGTCTGGAGAAACCACGTGCTTCACTCTCTCCCTCTTTCTATTTAACTTTCAAGGACATAAACAAACGGCTGGAAGGTTCTAACGCTTTTCCCCTCGCAGGGCTTGAGACAGGGAATAATTCCTTCCCCAAAGCCCTCATCCACGTCAATGCCCTGATTTGGGGGAGACTCAAAATCCTGAAAATCCAAGGAAAAAAAAATATCTCCGCTGAGCCGGTTTGCCAGCGGGAACGGAAAACGCGTCCACGGAGTAATTACGAGGTTATACTTGAGATAATTACAGCTCCTAAATGCACGCTTTCCCTCAAAGTCACCAAGCAACTCCAGTTGCCATCCAAACTTTTAGAGAGAATGATGAATTCATCACTTAGGCCAGCCCCTGCCAGGCAGATTTCCCAGGACTCTCCCAGGACTGCAGATATCCCGAGGAGAGGGATGAAGAATGACTTCAGGCCTCGCTCGCATCGGCCGCTCGGGCCACAGCATCTGACCGAGCTGGAGGCAGAAGCTGGATGGGAGCAGAGCTTTTTCTCAGGAAAAGTCCTGCATGGAATGAGGTTTCAGTGTTTCTATCACGATCGCCCCTCGGGGTAGGCTGATCTCCCTCAGAAAACTGAAAATTATGAATTTGAGGAACCCAGCCGACGACCTCCTCCAGCCTTCAGTGATCCCCAGGCTGTAAGAACCGCTTCAATGCTTTTAGCACACTGTTCACAACCAAAGGTGACGGAGCACCAGGAATAATTTTGAAAATGCTGCTTTCATACACCAGAACCTGCTCTTTCTTGAGGCTGCGGATTCATAGAATAGAATCATAGAATCATTGAGGTTGGAAGAGACCCTTGGGATCATGGAGTCCAACCATCTCCCCTACTCTACAAAGTCCTCCCCTACACCATGTCCCTCAGCACTGCATCTAAACGGCCCTTAAACACAGCCAGGGATGGGGACTCCACCCCCTCCCTGGGCAGCCTGTTCCAATGCCCGACCACTCTTTGGGTGAAAAATTCCTTCCTAATGTTCAATCTAAACCTCCCCTGTTGGAGCTTGAAGCCGTTCCCTCTCGTTCTGTCACTAATTACCTGTGAGAAGAGACCAGCCCCAACCTCTCTACAGTGTCCTTTCACGAAGTTGTAGAGAGTGATGAGGTCTCCCCTCAGCCTCCTCTTCCTCACACTAAACAGCCCCAACTCCCTCAGGATTTGCTTTCCAGGCCCTTCACTAGTTTCGTTGCCCTCCTCTGCACTCGCTCCAGCACCTCCAGATCTCTCTTGGATTGAGGTGCCCAAAACTGGACACAACACTCGAGGTGTGGCCTCCCCAGTGCTGAGCACAGGGGCACAATCACCTCCCTACTTCTGCTGGTCACACTATTTCTAATACAAGCCAGAATGCTGGATTCATCCCTAGTGGAGTTTTCCTCTCCTCCTCCTAACCCCCCTCCGTGAGCTTATGGCTTTTCCTCCTTCGCGCTTCCCTCTGCATCGGCCGGAGCTCAGCCCCTGGGTTGATGGCCAAGGAAAGGAAGTGCCCTGACCCTGGTGGTGATTTTTGACCGATATTAATTACTTCGACCTCACGCCAAAGCGCAGGAGTCGGGCAGGAGCACGCCAGGAAGATGACTTTAATCCCATGCCCAAGAAAAAGACGCTGAACTGCTTTGGATAAAGGCTTCCACGCTCCCCAGACACAAGTTGTTAAACTGCTCTGGCACCACTCCTGCTTTCCTTACAGGTTGTCATCTTAAATATTGAAAAATCTAAGTCGTTAAACTCAGGGGCGCTGCTCTTTTTTTTTTTTACTATTATTATTATTTATTTTTTCATCGGTCTACACGTGGCTCTAAGCTCTGCTAAATCCTGAGCGTTAAAAACCGTTAGTGCCCATTCTCCCCCATCCATCTTCCCTCTCTGTCACCTCCTCCTACCAGCACCCCTCCATCCTCCCCACATCTCCTCCTACCCCCTTCTTTTCTGCCCCTCTTCACCCTCCAGCCACCGAAACCTCCCTGCTCCTCATTTTATTCTCATTTTCTGCACCCTGTTGGGTCACCACAGCCCCCCAGGCTCCTAAGCACAGGTCTCCCCAACCTTCACCCCTTGCTGGTAGGACCCACCCCCCTCCCAAATAACCCCTCATGAGGCCTTTTAATTAAACACCCATCACCCAGCTCTTCTCCCAGCCTTCCCCCAGTTCCTACCCAGACACGACATTCACCCCTTGGCAAGGAATCTAAACCCAGGTGTTGAATTTGCAATTTGTCACCGGCAATCCCTCACTTTTAATTTCCTTGAATTTAGATTAAGGCAAAAAAACCCCCTTTTTTTTAAAAAAAAAATAATATTATGGCTCATTTAGTTAAAACCATCTCCCAGCCTTTATTTCCAGGGGGAAATTAATCTTCATCCTTCTATTTCACGAGGCCCAGGAGCACAATAGCGCAGCCGAAAATAGCAGCTCCCAGGGAAGAACATTTCCATGTATTAAGCGGAAAAGCGGCCGTATTTTTAAACCTGGCTTTGACAATCCCATTGGCACATGTTTCTTTAGTAACTATGTATTTATTTTTTTAAATTAAAAATCCCAACACCTCTCCAAGGCGATACTAATCCCATTCCCTCACACTCCGTGGCTTGTGACATTTTCCTTTACGGACAGACCCGACCTTCAGCCGCTGGGACTTAAAGCGACTTTAAACGTGATGTTGCCACGCGCTGGTTAAGTCTTTATTTTGGCCCTGTTGGCATCCAGTCAGAGCCCCCGTGGAAAAAAACACGTTTCCTTCTCCAACGCTTCGCTGCTTTTATTCAAAGAAATTCCATTTGAACCACAAACCGCCCTGAATAGCCACCGAAAAGGCCGAAGGCACGGAGGAAGCTTTTAGTAAAGGCAGCGATCTCCTGGAAGAGCATAAAGAACCTCTGCGGGGCCGGAGCCGCTGTAAACACCCCCTTTAACAAATGGCTAACGGAGAGAACCCGGGCACTGCCGCCCCGGGGAGGCCCCGCAGGCTCCCGTTGGGGACAGCGGTGCTGGGGGAACCCGGCCTGGCCGGCGGGGAGGGCGGCCACCGAGGCCTTCACCTCAGGGCCGGGGGCGGGCCCGCCGCCTCGCCGTGACAGGGCCGCGGCCCGGCCCCGAGGCGCTGCCCCCGCCCCGCTCTCCTCAGCCCCAGCCTCGGCCCGTCCTCCACCTCCGCGCTCCCAACGTCCGGCCGCCGCCGCCGCCCCGCGCTGCGCACGCGCCGCCCCGCCCCGCCGGGACGTACCACTGCGGCGGCGGAGGGGGGACGGGGGGGAACCGCCGGGAGACCGCCGCACCGGGGGCTCGTCCCGCTCCTCCCCGCCGCCCCCTCGGGAGGTTTTTGCCCTCCGTGAAGAATCGGGGACTCCCCGGGAGGCGGCGGCTGCCGCTCGGGAGGGCGGTTCTCCGCCGGAGCTGGGTGCTACCCCCCCTCCGGGTCGTGGGATGGTACGGCCCGCGGCCGTTAGGGACCGTCGCGCAAGAGGCGTTTGGGCCGGGGGGCGTGGGGGACGTGTGGAGGGGGGGAGTGATGTCATCGCCTGACGTCACACATCAGCAAGCGACACCGCGGGGCGGCGCGTGACGTCACCAGGCGTCACACGTCACGTGGCAGTGACCCAAGGCGGGTGTTGGGGGGGTCTCCGCGCTGTGCGGGACCGTGTTGTGCGGGACCCCCGGCGTCCCTCGCTGCCCGCGCAACAGCAGTGACCTCATGGGTGACATCATGGGTGATGTCACGGTGCCACCCCCTCCTGTGTCCACCCCAGTACCCTCCGCCACCCCACCTGGCCGGACTGTGTCCCAGAGGGGGCTGCTGTGTGTCCTGCAACGCTGGCGTGGCGGGGGCGGGTGTCCCAGGGGTGACATCACATGGGTGGGTGACCCATGGGTGGCATGGTGTGCCTGGGTGTCCCATGGGTGATGTGATGTGGATGGGCGTCCCATGGGTGACATGGTGTGGATGGGTGACCCATGGGTTTCATGACATGGGTGGGTGTCCCATGGGTGGTGTGATGTGGGTGGGTGCCCCATGGGTGGCATGGTGTGCCTGGGTGTCCCATGGGTGATGTGATGTGGATGGGCGTCCCATGGGTGACATGGTGTGGATGGGTGACCCATGGGTTTCATGACATGGGTGGGTGTCCCATGGGTGGTGTGATGTGGGTGGGTGCCCCATGGGTGGCATGGTGTGCCTGGGTGTCCCAGGGGTTGCATGGCATGGGTGGGTGACCCATGGATGGCGTGGTGTGGGTGGGTGTCCCATGGGTGGTGTGATGTGGGTGGGTGACCCATGGGTGGCATGGTGTGCCTCGGTGTCCCATGAATGATGTGATGTGGGTGGGTGACCCATGGGTGATGTGATGCGGATGGGTGACCCATGGGTGGCATGGTGTGGCTGGGTGTCCCATGGATGATGTGATGCAGGTGGGTGACCCATGGGTGGCATGGTGTGCCTGGGTGTCCCATGGATGATGTGATGTGGGTGGGTGTCCCATGGGTGGCATGGTGTGGATGGGTGACCCATAGGTGATGTGATGTGGGTGGGTGACCCATGGGCGGCATGGTGTGGATGGGTGACCCATGGGTTTCATGACATGGGTGGGTGACCCATGGGTGATATGATGTAGGTGGGTGACCCATGGGTGGCATGGTGTGCCTCGGTGTCCCATGAATGATGTGATGTGGGTGGGTGACCCATGGGTGGCATGGTGTAGGTGGGTGTCCCATGGGTGGCGTGACATGGGTGGGTGACCCATGGGTGACATGGTGTAGGTGGGTGTCCCATGGGTGGTGTGACATGGGTGGGTGCCCCATGGGTGGTGTGGCATGGCAGGTGTGCCATGGGTGGCGTGGTGTAGGCGGGTGTCCCATGGGTTTCATGACATGGGTGGGTGTCCTGCGGGTGGTGTGGCATGGCAGGTGTCCCATGGGTGGCATGGCACCAGTGGGTGTCCCAGGGTGGCACAATTTGGGTGGGTGTGCCATGGGTGGCATGGTGTGGGCAGGTATCCCGTGGGTGGTGTGGCACAGGTGGGTGTCCAATGGGTGGCATGACATGGGTGAATGTCCCATGGTTGTGGCACACATGGGTGTCCCATGGATTATGTGACATGGGTGGGCATCCCATGGGTGGAGTGGCACAGATGGGTGTCCCATGGGTGGCACGGCGGGGGTGGGTGTCCCATGGGTGGCACGGCGGGGGTGGGTGTCCCATGGGTGGCACGGCGGGGGTGGGTGTCCCATGGGTGGCACGGCGGGGGTGGGTGTCCCATGGGTGGCACGGCGGGGGTGGGTGTCCCATGGGTGGCACGGCGGGGGTGGGTGTCCCATGGGTGGCACGGCGGGGGTGGGTGTCCCATGGGTGGCACGGCGGGGGTGGGTGTCCCATGGGTGGCACGGCGGGGGTGGGTGTCCCATGGGTGGCACGGCGGGGGTGGGTGTCCCATGGGTGGCACGGCGGGGGTGGGTGTCCCATGGGTGGCACGGCGGGGGTGGGTGTCCCATGGGTGGCATGGCATGGGTGAATGTCCCATGGTTGTGGCACACATGGGTGTCCCATGGATTATGTGACATGGGTGGGCATCCCATGGGTGGTGTGGCATGGCCCATGGGTGGGTGGGTGCCCCATGGGTGGCATGGCACAGGTGGGTGTCCCAGGGGCCATATGGCACAGGTGGGTGTCCAATGGGCCATGTGGCATGGGTGGGTGTCCCATGGGTTTCATGGCATGGTTGGGTGTCCCATGGGTGGCGTGGCACAGGTGGCATAGGTGGATGCCCCGTGGATTGTGTGACATGGGTGGGTGTCCCATGGGTTTCATGGCATGGGTGGGTGTCCCATGGGTGGCATGACGTGGGTGAGTGTGCCATGGGTGGTGTGGTACAGGTGGGTGTCCCCATGGATTGTGTGACATGTGCAGGCATCCCATGGGTGGTGTGGCGTGGCCAGTGTCCCATGGGTGGCATGGCATGGGTGGATGTTTCATGGGTGGTGTGGCACGGCAGGTGTCCCATGGGTGGCATGACGTGGGTGGGTGTCCCATGGGCCATGTGGCATGGGTGGGTGCCCCACGGGTGGCATGAAGTGGGTGAGTGTCCCATGGGTGGTGTGGCACAGGTTGGTGTCCCATGGGTGGCATGATGTGGGTGAGTGTCCCATGGGTGGTGTGGCACAGATGGGTGTCCCGTGTGTGACATGACGTGGGTGAGTGTCACATAGGTGGTGTGGTACAGGTGGGTGTCCCCATGGATTGTGTGACATGTGTGGACATCCTGCGGGTGGTGTGGCATGGCAGGTGTCCCATGGGTGGCATGACGTGGATGGGTGTCCCATGGGGCCATATGGCACAGGTGGGTGTCCAATGGGCCATGTGGCATGTGTGGGTGTCCCATGGGTGGCACGGTGTGGGTGGGTGTCCCATGGGTTTCATGGCATGGTTGGGTGTCCCATGGGTGGCGTGGCACAGGTGGCATAGGTGGATGCCCCGTGGATTGTGTGACATGGGTGGGTGTCCCATGGGTTTCATGGCATGGGTGGGTGTCCCATGGGTGGCATGACGTGGGTGAGTGTGCCATGGGTGGTGTGGTACAGGTGGGTGTCCCCATGGATTGTGTGACATGTGCAGGCATCCCATGGGTGGTGTGGCGTGGCCAGTGTCCCATGGGTGGCATGGCATGGGTGGATGTTTCATGGGTGGTGTGGCACGGCAGGTGTCCCATGGGTGGCATGACGTGGGTGGGTGTCCCATGGGCCATGTGGCATGGGTGGGTGCCCCACGGGTGGCATGAAGTGGGTGAGTGTCCCATGGGTGGTGTGGTACAGGTGAGTGCCCCCATGGATTGTGTGACATGTGTGGGCATCCCGTGGGTGGTGTGGCATGGCAGGTGTCCCATGGGTGGCATGGCATGGGTGGGTGTTTCACGAGTGGTGTGGCATGGCAGGTGCCCCATGGGTGGCATGGTGTGCCTGGGTGTCCCATGGGTGGTGTGGCACAGATGAGTGTCCCACAGGTGACATGAGGTGGGTGGGTGTCCCATGGGTGGTGTGGCACAGATGAGTGTCCCACAGGTGACATGAGGTGGGTGGGTGTCCCATGGGTGGTGTGGCACAGATGAGTGTCCCACAGGTGACATGAGGTGGGTGGGTGTCCCATGGGTGGCATGGTGTGGGTGAGTGTCCCATGGGTGGTATGGCACAGATGAGTGTCCCCATAGATTGTGTGACATGTGTGGGCATCCCATGGGTGGTGTGGCATGGCCAGTGTCCCATGGGTGGCATGACGTGGGTGGGTGTCCCATGGGTGGTGTGGCACAGATGAGTGTCCCACAGGTGACATGAGGTGGGTGGGTGTCCCATGGGTGGTGTGACCCAGGTGGGTGCCCCACGGGTGCCACAGTAGGTGTGGGTGTCCCATGGGTGGGTGCGTGTCCCATAGGTGGCATGGCATGGGTGAGTGTCCCATGGGTGGTGTGGCACAGGTGGGTGTCCCATGGGTGCCATGGCGTGGGTGGGTGTCCCATGGGCCATGTGGCATGAGTGGGTGTCCCATGGGTGGCATGAGGTGGGTGAGTGTCCCATGGGTGGTGTGGCACAGGTGGGTGCCCCACGGGTGCCCCAGTAGGTGTGGGTGCCCCATGGGTGGGTGCGTGTCCCGTGGATGGCACAGCAGAACCATGTGTCCCCTGGGTCCCCCCCAGGTGACCGCAGCCCCGTCCCCCCCTTGCTGCCCCCCCCAGAGACCCCACCACCGACCCCAGCCCACCCACCGTGGGCGGTGGGCACCCCCCCAGCCTCCCGTGTCCCCAGGGTGCCCACTTCACCCCGGGGTGGGGGGGTCCCCGGGGGCACGAGGGACGCCGCAGGACACGTGTTTGGGGACGTTTAATGACCTCGAGGGTCCCAAAGCAGCGGGACGAAGCGCGCGGTGCAGCGGGGTCCCCTTCCCGGGGGGGGTCCCCACCACCAGCCCCCCCCTTCCCCA